TATGTATTAGCGATGCATTTGCAAGCTTTTCCTCAAAGCTAGTTTGAACTATAACACTGTATATTTCATTTAACTTAGTCACATGAGGCAAGTAAAGAATAATATAAATTCTGCTAAGATCACATTTCTGCATTACACCATTTTTTAGTAGTCTCCTTCATACTGTCTCTTAGCCATACTACTTTTTCCAGACACAATTTAGTATTCATTTAAAATAATCAATATTCTGCCTTGAATAAATCCCTATACTACCTACAAATGTTCTGGGTTTGGAGGACAATTCCATACAATTTCTTTTAAAAGCTTCTTTGATTTGATATAGTTTTCTTTTTGAAAATTAAGCATTAATGTCTTGCCTATCTTTCAATGCTTCCAAAAGATTATAGTCTCTGTAAAAGCACTTGCCAGCAGGGAAGATTTTGCACCTGATCTCACACAGAATCAAATAAAAACAGTTTTTTCTCATGAGTTCTCTAACTGTTCCACAAAGCAGTTGTCTCCTAATTTTCAGTTGAAGCACCATGCATAAGCTTAATATTCATCAACTCCACTGGCAAGTGACTGAAGTCTCTCATAATTACTGTATTTTGGTCTCCAATAGCCCAGTCTCATCCAGTTCATCTGCTGTCATTACCACTGCAAAAACTGAGTCCTCCTCCCTCCAAAAGAACCACCAGGTGCTGCTGTTCAGGGGTCCCTCCAGTCCCCAAGATGACATTTTTCACTGATCAAAGGCTACTGTCCACCTCCATCCCATCTGTATTGATTGAGCAAGCCAGAATGACAAAGCCAGTAAGTCTGGGGCTTTTTTATGGTTTCACAATATTCCTCAAGCCAGTTTCCATATTCTCAAACTTTAGAACTATACAGTCAAGCGATGAAAAAGGCTTAAGACAGCTTTAGATCATACTTCACAAGATCAACTCTACAGCAAAAGTACAATTACAAGGTTCTAAGTAAATAGGAAAAGGAAGTTAATTCAGCTTCTGCTACTACCAAAATGAATAGTGGCTGTTCTGAATGAAGACAAATTACGCACTTTTGCAATGCTAATTGCAAAAAAAAAAAAAAAAAAAAAAAAAAAAAAAAAAAAAAAAAAAAAAAAAAAAAAAAAAAAAAAAAAAAAAAAAAAAAAAAAGTGGACACTATAAAGTTACCAGAAGGGGAAAAAATAATATCACAGAAGGGCCAAATGTTTAAGAGCCATAGAAAGACAACTAATTCACGGAAGTGTATTCTCCAGACAAACTGCAAAGTTTTATCATTTTACACAGCAGAATTTAAATTAGGACACGCTAGTAATTATAGAACCAGGAATAAGCAATTCTCTTTTAAAGTTTCAAAAAATATGAACAAAGGAATTTAATTATCAAGTCAGAATAATACAGCTGGAACTACAATTAACCACAGAGAGAAACAGCAGCTTCCATGAAGAACTGACCTTCTATTACAAATAATGACATAGCTGGAAGTAGAAAAAATTACTCCCAGGAGGTAGTTTCATAATTTATATCAATGTAGGAAGATCTCATTAGATGTAGTGAGTCAAAATTAGAGTGTCACCGTTACAAAAAGGGGCTCCACTCCTATCCATGTGCACCCACAGCTGCATGAGCACCTGTGAGCCAGTGTAAGTTGTAGGAAACTATCTCATTCCACACGAGGCATCAGTTTTCTGCATCTTGAGCAACCTGAATGGAATTGAAGTGTGCAACATGCACGAGAGTCAGGGTAAGGAAGACTCTGAAATTTGCAGCTGGGATTAGTTGCAGCATCTGCAACTCATCCATCAACTTGATGGATTTTACAAGCAAAGCCTGAGCTGGGACTGCCACAGTTACCTGTTCCCACTCTACACTGGAACTCACTCACATGCACACCAAACCAAATGCAGAGAAATTATTAAACCCAAAATTAAGTTTCCTAATACAAAATGATTTTTCATATGAATCAGCTCACTTTATGATTGTTCAGTAACAGGAGTTTGAGAATATTTCTAAACTCTGGTGACTGTCTGAATGTGGCAACCTCATTCCTGATCAATCTGTCATAAAAGACCAGCTTCCTGTGAAAAGGGAACAGAAGTTGGGCCCAGACTGTCATAGATAAATATAGGTCAAGTGTAAAATAAGACAGAGGAAGTTACCTGAACTATGACTGTATAAAATGTATCATGATAAAGCTTGTTATGAAAGAACCAATCTATAACTTCAAACCTGCTAGAAGACTGCTTTTAGTGGTTTTCAATCTTAGTAAATGCTTGCCTTTTCATTTCCCAGATGTGCATCCTTATCACCTAGTTTATCTTTCTTTGTCTTCTCTATACCTTCAAAAAAAGAAGAAACAATTTACAATACAAATTAATCTGCAAGCAGCCCATATAACTTAGGTTCATACAGGGTTATATTACTGACACTTTTACCAAACCTGAAAGAATTGTAAAAAAATTTCCCTCGACAACCATTTATCAAGTTAGCATCAAGTTAGTATTCATGCTTAAAAAGGCCAAGCAGGTTCCAAAATATGCATATGTAAAAGACTCCTCTGTCACTGTTAAGAAAAAATTACTTAAAATTCACTACAAAGCAGAAAAATATTTTCCATTGAATTCAGAGGAAGCATTACTATAATTCTGTAATTACATGCCTCTTTCAAGAAAACACAACTCATTTTGATCATAGTACAGCTGGGGGTATGAGCACGAAGGAAAAAAAGAAGAAAAATCCAAACTCTAGAAACTTTACATAGCTTAACTGTTTTCTAGGAATTTGGCAGCAGTATCTCACAAAACCTTTGTTCTATAAAGCATTATTTGTATTTGAGTTTAGCGTATCGTGTTTTACAAACTGACCACGTTTCACCTGCAGGGGATAATTTTTCCACATTGCTCATCTTGCAACAGAACAGGCCTTTTAAGACCAGGTAAGAGAGAACAAGGAGATCTCAGACCTGACAAACTGGAAGATAAGATGACAATCCCACGAGAAGCAGGCAGCCACCAGTGCTGGGTCTGACACAGAGCACAGCACAGCTGGGAGTCTGGGTCCCCACTGAACTGCCAGAGACCTTTAGTCCATGGCTCTGAAAATACAGATTCTGCAGTTCCAAGGTTTTGCAAATGCACCTCAAACTCACACCATGGCAAATGAAACAATTAGGATATGTGTTTCTTTTCTGCCTTAACACTGTCCACAAGTCCCAAGAAGAGGAGAAGCAGTGAAGGAGCCAGGTGTAACAGGCTAGGAGTAATTACCTCAGTGGGTACAGAAAGGAACAGGGAAAAAGAGAACTCCCCTGAAGTGCAGGTGTCTCCAGAGTTTGTAATTAGTTAGGATTCCTTTATGTCTAGATTATCTTATTGCCCACCTTACAGGCAAGGTATGTATTTTGTCTACCCATAGTGAGTACAACACTGAACTGCTGCTGTCAGCTATGAACTGGCATTACCAGCAGCAAGATACTTCCTGAAACAAAACAATGGTATTGACCAAAGTCCAACAAAGTATAATGTGATTTATTTCAATTTACTAGAACTGTTCTAAAAAACACTTGTCTGGGCAGATCAAGACCTTTGTCTACAGAAGACAATAAGCTCATGCATGTTGGTGTAAGTGTATAATCAGACACTGAGCTCCAGCTCAAACTTCTAACCTAAGCTGTTAGAACAGGCAATATGGCACAGCTGTGTTTGTAGCATCAAACCTTTTACCTTTGTTTTCTCAACACTTTCTACAACGAGATAATAAATTAAGTATTATAGCATCAAAGTTTACAGTCAATGCTTTTGTTTTACAGCTAGACACTTTTCCTTGACATATCCAATCCCCAGAGAAGGTGATGAGGATTACATTTCTCTCCTCCAGCACACAATGATCAGTATGACAGGCATTGAAGAGCTCTGCAACTTCCCGTTTCAGAATTATGACAAAGTATCACCAGATGGCAGCAGAAACCCGTCCCTGCCTTCCAGCTCCTCAAGGCTTGATGGAAAGATTAGAGCTCCACTGCCAGGATAATCACAGAATTTCACCAACTAGGTCAACATTGCAGATATTTGTTCTGAGCCCAATATTTACCTTCTAAAGACAAACATTTTTTCCATTAAGTAGAAATAAAAATTTAAAAATCTATAAAATACAGTTCAATGCAGTCTGAAACAGCCCAACTAACATCAGAGGTTTGCAGTTGTTTTAAGAGAGGTAAACTTTTTACAGACCCACACTAAAGCTATATATACATATAAATATGTATGTATAGGCAATGACAAGGTAGCAAGAAAAGTAAAATATCAAAGTGAGGCTAAAAAGAAATCAAAATTTCTTTAAAATCATTTGGGTTTCAGTCCCAGATGTACCATATACAATGTAATGTTTTAAAATTAACTCATCCCACATTTCTTTAAATGTGCATCACTGATTTACACAGTGATGAACTATTACCTTTGTCACTGCTACACCACCAGGCTCCACTGATCCCATGTTTTACTGAAAGAGCCTGAACCATAATATACAACAGCAGCTGCAAAAACCACAGTGTACACAGGAATAAATGTTAGATTTAAAGCTTATTAATCAAATAATATTTCAGGATCTAGTTCTCAGGAGAAAACAGACAACTGAAATTAAACAAAACTCTTAACTTTCTACTTCTTTCCAGAGCCACAATTTGACTGACTGTGACTTGCACAGAACTGAGAATAAAACCTGCACCTTGTAAAACCTCCCTAGTGCCCACAATGTTCTAGATCTGCTAGGCACTTTTAACATTACCTCATTTGTTCTTTCACTGGGACTTTTGTTCACTCCTCCCCCCAAGAATTTCACAAGGAGCACACTGCTAATGAACATGTGTTTTAAGGACAGACATGAGTCTGGAGAGCTCACAGGATTCCTGTTAAGTTTCTAGTTCCTCCAGCGATCTTTAAATATCCAGTCCAGAGTCAAATTAATGTATGCATCTAATTTACAACATTGTAGTACTTAAGGAACAGTTTGAAATTCCCATATAATCCTGTACCACATAGCAGGAACAGAAAGAAAAAATATTGGTACCATTCCTTGCACTCACATAACATTATTGAATCGGCAAAGTCACAGCAAATGTCACAGTTACAGCTTAATTCCTCTTCTAAACCTGTTAACATAAAGGCTCACCTTTTCTTTTTCTCTATTTAAAAACAGGGACTAGATGTTTGTTACTGTTGAGTTTCAATTTTTCAACAGAAAAACACAGGCTAAATTTTACTCACTCTGGTTATTTTCTCTGTTAGTCTGAGCTTCTACAGGAATAGACTGCAAAGCTGTCATAATCCTCTGAGCAATATTAGATAAAGGCACTTTAGAAATCTCACATCCTATGTACTGCTCCATTCTAAAGTTAAACCTAAACACAGAACACACAAATTATTAATTTATTAGGGGCATGAGTAATTCTTACTTGTATTCTGTTGAAATTAAAGACAAAATATAGTGAACATGTTTAGCCCTTCATTCTCAATAGAAAATTACATTTGCTCCCAGACATACTGATCAGTATTGTATCAGAAATAAAAATATACTAATTTATAAAAACAAACCTCTTTGAAATAGTGTTTTAATATACCAATTAAAAATCAGCATTCCTAAGTACAGTTAACTTGTACTAAAAGAAAATAAAATCTGACAAATAAAACAAGAAGTCTGTATGTCTGAGATACTTTCCCTCTCCCTCCCATCTTTAAACTAGGCTGCATCTCGCATGTGCATACAGTTAGTTACTAGTGCTTGGATTTTATTCAGAAAGACATAATTAACTTTCAAGTAATTGCCAAAATTAAGCCAACACAAGATTAAAGAAACAAGCAAGACTATCACAATATACAGCCATTAGTTATGTGCTGTTTCAGAAAATATTTATCATTAAAGACCCCTACTTTCTTAAATTTTGTATAATTGATGCATTCAAATACTGCTATATATTGGGAACTTTAAAATAGCTACTATAGCTTGTCAATTTAAGAAAATGGGCAACAACATTTATCGTCTCTACAAGTTTTGACCCCAGCTACTGTTGTTGTAAATGCTATCCTTTTCTGAAAAGGAGCTGTTTTTCCAGCTGAACTGTCTATATTTTGTAATATCTACAAAATACTTTGGAGAATCCTTAGGTACAACACACTCTGGAGAATCACAAGTAACGGTGTCCACACTGATGACTTATTGTTGTTTTACAGTTAGACTAGAAGAATGTGTAAAACTTGACACAAACACAAGAGAAACATCCAACATTTAAAAAAATACTTCAAGGATCCAAGGTGTACAAATCAGTCACTCTAGCAAAACCTGCTGTTCACTAAACTATTCCTATACAAGTGGGTAGCTGGAGTCCTGTTACTCTCATCTTCTCCCACTAGGTCCAGTACATGAGCACATTGTCAAACTTAACCATCAGCAAACAACAGTTCCTCTGCCTCCTTTTTCTTGGCTCAAGACCTTACAAACTTTAATAGCTACAAGTGCAAATATTGTGTCCAATTCAAAGAGGAATATCCATCATGCTGCATTAGCACTGGCTATATCCATCTAGTTCTAATCAGTAAGCATGTGAGAGGTGGCATGACTTCCTTTTCCCTGACATTCCAAGAGTCAGAAGTACAATCCTTCCCTGCACTCAACTCCTCCTAACTCTATGCCCAAGAGCAACACTTCTTTCCTACACAGGGTTAAACTGTTCCCTGACTTCTTGGGCTGGGAAGCAGCAGTCACAGCCCCAGGGGCAGACTAAAATGAGAAGCCATCAGACTAAATACAAAGCAGACACCATGACTGAGAACAGGCCTAGAAAAACCCACACAGATTCACCATAAATATTAACCACACTGCACTGAATTGATGGAGTTTGGCATTTAATAATATACACAAAGTATAGAGTTAAGCAGCATGAAATCCAGACATAAAGATATCCAACCAGTAAGCTAAAAAAATTACACATTTAAAAATAAGTTATAATCACATAGAAGTTCAAAGTGTGTCATCAAAATAGTTTTAAGACTACTGTTACTGAATTTAAACAAATATACTAACCACCATCGATATGTACAGTGCTTGAAAGCAAGCACAGCTGATCCCATCAAAATATAAAAGACTGGAAGTTACCATACTATAAAAGCCTATTTAGTTCCACTGGTATATTAGGAAGCTATATAAAAAATTGATAAATGGGCTAACAATGAAAATGAAAGCACAAGTATGAAAGCATCAGCACTCTGAATTGAAATGCCTATCATTATAAATTATAAGGCAAACTCAGAAGTACAAAAGATAAATTTTAAATTCTTGTTCACTGACAAGCCACGATAAATATAGACTGGCTTCAATGGAGAAGACAGGCCATAAGTTAAATTAAGAGATATTAGAATGGTCTTAAAACAGATGGTCTTGGTAGTTAAAACAGATTCTGATACATATTCCAACACATTTCTAACAAAGTCTTCTTAGAAACAAAACCAAGTCTTCTTAGAAGAACTGTAAGGGAAACAAGAATGGAATATCTGCTGCCTTTGAGAACTCTCCTCTTCACTATGAGCACATTACATCTTGTTCCAAGTGTCAGCCTTGACAGTTTATTCCATAAATTCATAGACAGTTTACATTGACATTTTCCTTTCTTATGAGTATGTTGCTCTTTAGACATTAAGAACTGCACTGGTTCTGAAGACCACTGGCTTTAACCTGAGACTGCTGCTCAATCTTTTCTACCATCTCTTTCAACTGCTCTTCATCATTGAAAAAATACACATACAAGTCTCTTTCCATCTGAAGCAGCCTATTGGACTCTAAAAGGCTTCTCTTCGACTTCAGGTCAGCAACCAGATCCTTAAGGAGACGATTTAGTTCACCTAAATCCACTTCCAGTTGGTGAAACTGCTCACTAAGTTCCTAAGAAAATAATAAAAGACAAAAAATTCTTACTTTTCTATTGTTAATATACTAGCTGAACTAGAAACATGAAAGGTTTTTTTGCTTTGGGAAGCCATTTGTTTGTAATCAAAAAATAATCACAAAAAAACCCAGAAAACAAAGTTAAGGGATTCCATTCAATGTATGTCATTTTTGAGCTCCATGTAACAGAACTCATATTGTATTATGCAAATATGATTTAATTTACTTCTTGACCAGATGAGTTAAGACCATAAGAATCTGAACCTGACCTAGAGACATGAGTGAATTACATTTTCTATTACAAGTCTTCATTGCTAGTCAAATCTTAAAAGGGAACAAACAAACAGAAAAAAAGCACAACAAAAAGCCAAATCAATTTTACAATTAAATCATTAAATTACAGCTACAACTTTCCCAGATAGCATTCTTGTGATAGCTCAGCATAAGCAGACTAATCATCTACTTGCACATTATTTCCTTATTAAAGGAATTACTTTTCTTGAGAAACAGTACCAGTAGAATGAGATGTCATATTTTAAGAAGTAACTCAAATCAATAGGAAGGTATTTGATTTTAAAAATGCAATCTCTAAATGTACTGTTCCAATTACAGTCTCATTTTTAAATAAAAACTGTGCTATATGCTGTAAATTCATTTGACAGATGACTGCTAAATATATTTTTATGTAATTAACCAAGAAAGTATTATGTAACAGATTTCCCTTGATGCATTTTTGAGGTATCTACAAAGATTTAAAAACCATAACAAGGTGCATTTAACAAACCCTGTTCCCATTTAAAAGATGTTCTAAACATAATATCTGAGAGCGGTGTAGCAGGATTGTCCTACTACAGCTGTACTTCAAAATTCTGGTATTTTTATTTTGTCCAAATGACACATCCGTGGCCAGGCTTTTAAGGGGCCAAACCACACTATTGGGGTCTTAGAGGTAGTAGGGGAGAAAGCCCATATGAAATGAAAAGCAACTTAAATGAATTTTCCAGTGACACCCTACCCAGACAAAGGATCTCCCACACCACAAGCCTACAGGAATGCAGGACTGCACATGCCTTTGAAAGAAATTGACTTAGATGCAAGAGTTTGCTCAGAAACCAAAAAATTATTACCTGCCAGAATTTAAAAAAAATAGAGCACTAGCCAAGAACAATGTACCTGTTCAGCATCCATCATCCATCATCATTATGTTAATAAATTTGTTGCTAATTAGTGGGGACATTTGCATGCCTTCACACTATACTTTATCAGTAAAAGAACATGACACACAATGCAGTAATTTAAATAAAATCATGAAGGGCTCACCGGACTCCGGAGCTGTATCTGATTTGTTCCATCATAGAGAGCACCACGAAGGGCATCCACATCCCCTTCTAGGCTGGACAAAAGGAGAGACTGCTCCTGAGCAGATGCTGCCAGCTGATCTTCTACTCTAGCACAGTCCTGCTTTAACTTCTGAGCCATCTGCTCCAGGCTTTTGTATGTTTTAAACAATTGTTGTTTTTTACTTCCTCCTTCCAGAAGCTGATACAGCCTGTAACAAGTGAAGTTAGACACACAAATATTTTAACTTTCCTAAGCACTCTATCATCATTAGTTAAGAGAACATGTCTGTGTTGAGAAGTCAGAGGATGAGTAAGGTAAGTTCTGTTGAGGGCACTTTTACAAAACTGCTATATCTCCCACTGATTTCAGGATTCCATCTATATATAGTACTGATTAACAGGAATCCAAAATATTTCAATGTCCAATTAGCAGCAAGGAAATATTGAAGTAACAGTAAGTACATCATGAATGCAAACAGAAACTGACAGTGTGGTTTTGCCAACTATCTCCTGATACTTCAAGAGCTGCAAAGTAACATGGATTTTTTTAAGTGCTGAATGAAAGCAAACTTCAATGGCCAATGAGAAATAAGAACAAGCTTCGTAACATTTTCAAGCTTACTGAAGTATTTCCTGTTTTCTATCTGTCTATGAAGAGACTGCTGAGAAATTCTCCAATGAGTTATATGTCATGCAAAAGATAGCTTTACACACTATAACGAAGTGTACCCTTACACTGCATCAGGAATGGCCCCAATATGATTACAGACAACATTACATAGTCCAAATGTTACTACCACCTCTGCATAACAAAAATCTTCAGGAGCTAATATAAAACCAGACTGGCTTTATTAAGAGAATAGGCTGTATTTCAAAAGTAACTGAATGTCTTTCAAGTGTCTTCTGTTTACAAACCCTATAAAGTTTTAAATTCTTTCAACTTGCCTTCCCTTAATCAAAAAAAAAAAAAAAGTAGCCAGAAACATTCAGTGATTTGTAGACTTTATAATAAACCTGAACAAAAATGTAACAAGCTGACACAAACACACAATAGGAGTAAAATTAATGCTGCCTAATTCTTCCAGTTATTCACTGTGCCCAACCATACTCAGCTATCACTTATCAATTATTAAAAAAAACAAACACTTAAAGCACCATTCTATAGAAGGAGGTAAAGTCTTACAGTAACACACCTATAATTATACAATTTATCTCATCAAAAGGTTTAGTCTTGATGGATGAGCAGCACAGTACACATCCTTAACTGTATCTATCACCTGAACTTTAAGGAGACCTAACTATTTAGATGGTGAAAAACCAGGCTCCTACATGGGTGCCAGGACACTCAAACCAGATGGCAAATGAAGCAGTAAAAAGGAGCTACACACATTTCATAGTCCAAAGGAGTCATTCCTCTCTCCTACCACACGGGGGGTTTTTGTGGGCCCAGCCGATGAGGCCGTGCACACAGCCCGGGAAATCACCGCTATTAACATCTACATGTCTAGAGCATCAGGAGGTGCTAGATAAGAAAGGCTTGGGTTTGAACATTCTTCATGTTATGGATATTAATTAGGAATGCTTCAGCAATATTAAAAAGACTGATAATTGAACAGTTTTTCCTCAGGCAAACCTGAAAAGAAGTTCAAAGGACATGGAAGAAACAAGTTTCACATCTTGAAAGCTTCAGTTCTTGAAAATTCAAAATTCTAATTAGCTACAGCAAGTACATAAGAACTTGGCAGCAGGCAAGGCTTACCTTGCCTGAGCCTTCATCTCCCCAGTATTATTTCAAAGAATATATTTCAAAGAAAGTCCAAGTCCAACAGTGACTATAATACTTACCTGCAAGATAAACCATCCTCTGAACTAATAGTGCTCCTTGGCTTTTCTTGTTCTGTTCGTTCAGCTATCAACTGTAGTCTTTGCTGTAACTCATCAGTGCTTTTTTCCAGAGATTCTACCAAATTCTCAAGCTGGCAGCTGATCTCCTGGTGTTTCTTCAGCTCCATTTCACAGGCCAGCTGAATAAGTTCAAACGATGTTTTCTGTCTTATCAAATGCCTGCCTATTTTATCTTGAATCGCAGCACAACAGTCCTGCCGAGCAATTAGGTGATCCAAGTATTCTTTCACCACTGGTGCAGTCAAAAGTTGTGCTTTCTTCTTAAGAAGGGGAAGCAGCTCTTCGTTGTTTATCCGAGCTATGTCTTGTTTAATTGCTGAAATTTCAGCACTTAAACTAGATATTTTAGCATCAATGTTCTCCTGCTGTCCAATATCCTGCATAAAACAAAATATTTGTGAATTTCTTCATGGTTCCTGCCAAACTACCTCCCAAACATTTCTTCAGTTCATATAAGACTCATTTACTTATGCTATATTTAGCTACAAAATTAAATGAAAACTCAACAAATAGTTTTACAGAATTTTACAAAATAATGCAAATACAGATGAACAAACTAGATAATAAATATATTTCAGCAAAAAGTAATTCCCTGCCAAGGTCAGGAAACAGTTTATTGGGTTAAAAATAAAAGAGCTGCATTTTACCTACCACCTATTTCAAGCATGCCTAACTGAAATCTCACAAACAAACAAATTTTTTTCTATTCAGTCAGATATCAAATCAATCTTTTTCAAATTACCCTAATCAATTAAGTCCTGTATACTAGTCATCCATAAATGAAAATATACAAACTGACATGATGCCTCAAGTTATTCCACGACTGGCATATGCAAATACCTTTCCTTTCATTATGATTTCTTCACAAATTCCACTAACCACATCTGCCTGTCACTCACTCGTTGAGAGACAGGGCTGGGGGCCCTGTCTGGGGCTTCAACTATCAGATTCATTTATTTGGTACAAATACTTGAGTTTCCAAGTGAGTAAACTAAAACTTTTTAAGCTTATGCTATGTAATACAAACACGAATACATTTATCATATTGGCCCCCTGACACCACAAAATTCCAACCAAAGCCAAGATACTGTTTACTGTGCAAAGAGCCAGTTCCAATTTGAAAATTCAAAGTTAAACTAAGCTAGAAAGATACTATAAATTCTAAGATTTTAAAGGTAGTGATGCTGGAAAGTAGAATTAAAGGTACTCTACCACACTGAAGAAATTACAACTATGGGAACTGAAGATATTTCACAAGAGCCGTTTTGTAGGCAAGACTAAAACTTCATAAAAATTCACTACATAAAACAATAGAAACAGTAACTCAGCAATTCCTTTCACTAGATCCAGTGGAACTGGCCTGTCTGTTTAAAACTCCAGTACCTTCTTTCACCTTTTGTGTCTTACCATGTCCAAGGACTGCAGCAGGCTCTCTGCACACTGGATAGCTGAATTCATGCCCTCCTCTTCAGCTTGCAGCTGAATTAGCTGGTTCTGACCACAAATATATGCTGCCTGGAGCCTGGCTATCTCTTGCCTCTCTTCACAAAAATCATTAGGCTCATCAAAGGGGACTTGCTTGATTAAATCTTCAAGTTGAAAGCTGCCTTCATGTGAGTTTTCAGTGCATTTAGACATACCTTCATATAAAAGCTTTTTTATGTGTGATGTAAGTGCTGCAGTGTTTTGTTCTTCCACAGACAAGTATTTGTCCAAAGAAAGTAGGGAAAAAAACACTGGATGTGTATCCGACCCTTGTTCTGAATCTGAAGCAGTGAAAAAAGAGGCAAATTCCTTCACTGCAGCTATAAGAGACTGCAGTTCATTGTCAAGCTTATTATTTGCCGCAGTAAACACTTCCAGTCCTTCTTTCCAATCCTTCAGTGCTTCTTCCTCTCTGCTTTGGAATGTTTGTAACAAGTGGCTGTTTGTAGCAACAAACAGTTGAAGCTTATTATGCCGATGAATTTGAAGATTTTTTAACTTCTCAAGATCTTGAAGCTCATCCTCTAATTTCTCCACTTCTTCCCTGTCCTCCTCTTGGCTACTGTTCGTTGAACCCATGGGCTCCAAGGTTTTAAGGACTTCATCCAGTGCATTTCCTTCCAAAACAGGTTTACCACACTGGAGAAGATTATCAAAATCCTGCAGTTCTTCTTCAGATACCACATGCTGCCCATTTATGTTTCTACAAAACCACTCCAAAAATGAATTGTCTTCTGAAGACTCAAACATCCAGTCAAAATCTTCTCCATTAAGCTCATCAGCCTTTGGATATCCAATTTTTTTAAGAGTGTCCACAAAATCCTTCCCACAGCTCATGATGAAAATATTTTTGTAAGTAGAAAAGATCCAAACACATTAGAAAGTCTGGGGTATTATTCCAGCTTTAAATTTTTTGCCATTTAAAATGAATATTCAGTTTTTTAATAAAAAGAGTCTGCATAGGAAAAGGGAAATGTCAGATCACAAAAAAATCAAAACAAGCAAAAAAAAAAACCCTGAATGCTGTTTTGGATTACAGTGGCTATTCAAAGACTAGAAACTAATTTTAATTTCAGATATCTTAACATGTTTTGTTGATCAAATCAGGACATATTTTTGTATCAGTTACATCCCAGATCATTGCAAGCACTTACATTTTTCCTTAATTCATATAAACTTATTATGGAAACAGTACATATCATTCATTTAAAAGTAACAGGTGTTAACACTGAGCAATTCATTGGCCTGCAAAAGTGATTTTACTTAAATGGTTTTCCACACATTCATTTAAAAAACCACCTACAATTATTTAAATCTTCCAAAATGATCAGGGTTTTCAGTCTGTTCTAAAAACAAAACTACAGTGATGTTACACTGCACTTCAAGATCTCAGCTATAAGGGGTTTTTTACCTCAACAGCAAGCAGAATCTTGTCTTCTAAACCTTTGCTTCAAAGTTTCCTCTGAAAATGGAACAAGAAATACTTTAACAGATAAATACCTCAACATAAACCTGCAGATTTTTTAATTGATTATAAAAAAATAAAATCAAAAGCAGTGTAAAAATACTCTTGTGAAAACGGTCACAACCTACAAGAAATGGGAGTTTGCTGCTTTTCTGTTTCATAGCAGACAAATAATCAGCTTTGGATCCTATAGCACATGTAACAGACAGCAAAGGATATCAAGCTATCAACAGTCAGGAGGCCTTGTCTGCAATACTGTGGTAATACTAATAGACCTTTTTTTAGTTTGATATTACATAACACTTTGTTTCTAAAACATACATTTCACCTGAGAACCCTCTCTGCCCTCCTGGAGCAGTGAACAAATAAAACCATTCCTCTAAAGCTCCCCACGTGTCTGACTTAGCTCAGAGACTGCAGATGACACAGAATGTTGCGAGTTTCGTGTCACAGGGCAGCGCTTCAAGCGTCCTCTGCCCTCAAAATAGATAAATATGGGTGCCAAGAGGATGCTGCCACACTCTTTTCAGTGGCACCCACTGACAAGGAGTAACGGCCGCAAAGTGCAACACAGGAAGTTTTGACTTTAACATGAGTTGAGTTCGAACTTTACGCTGAGGGTGGCAGGGCACTGGAACAGGCTGCCCGGAGAGGTCGTGAGATCTCCCTCTCTGGAGACATTCCAAAACAACGTGGAGGCGTTCCTGGGTAACCTGCTCCAGGTGACCCTGCAGGACGGTTGGACTGGATGGTCTCCAAAGGTCCCTTCCAACCTTACTGAGTGTGAAATAAGAGCCCCCACGCAATCCTGTGCGGACCACCACGACACTGGCACTGCCTTCAAACACCACGAAGAGCAGCTCGGGAGCCCTGCGGGAGCCCCGCGGCCCGTCCCCTCAGGGGCCGCGCCCCGGGACGGCCGCGGCCGCCAGCCACGGCGGGACCGGCCGGGACGAGAGCTCGCAGGCAGCGGGGACGCGGCGGCGGCGGCTGACCCCGTCCCTCCGGCAGCGAGCCCCGAGCCCGCAGCACAGCTCCGTACTCACCCCGGCGCTCTGCTCCGCCGCAGCGCCGCTCGAGGGGAGGGGAGCGAGGCGGGAAATGGCGGGAAGGCTGAAGGGAGCCTCAGGGAGGGCTGAGGGAAAGAGGGAAGGCGGAGGGGAGGCTAAGGGGGGGTAGAAAGGAGGCTTAGGGAGGGTAAGGGGCGGCGGCGGGAGGTTCAGGAAGGCTGAGGGAGATTCAGGAAGGCTGAGGGAGATTCAGGAAGGCTGAGGGAGGTTCGGGGAAGCGCCCGCAGCTCGAACCGCCCGCCGCGCGCGCGGTGTCCCCGCCCCGCTCCCCCCACCGCGCTGCCGCGCGCGCCCGCTCCGCCCAATGGGGCCTCCCGCGCAGGCGCGCGGCGTTCCGCCTCGCGCGCGGCCCGCCCGCCGGTGACGTCACGCGGGCGGGGCTGCGCGGCCGGGCCGCGCTTCCCCTCAGGGCGCTCCGCGGGCCGCCATGGCTCGGTCCGGCCGCGCCGCCCTCAGCGCCCGCCCTGCGCCTCTCCGCGGGCCTTGCTCGCCGTTCCCCCGACCGGAACACGGGAAGGGGAGGATGGGGCAGACCTGAGCGCAGTTGTTGCCGTCCAGCTTTGACCGCTGTGCCCTTCAGCTTCCTCGAAGCCCAGACATGGCTAGCGGCGGGCACTTCGCCATCCGTACCCAGTGTTGCTGGTTTTCACCCCTGCTTAGTCCTTTAATTCATGGGCTTTATATCCTTTATGGCCTTTTTGAACATGCTGACACATAACCTCACAAGGCAACATCCCAGAACGTTATGAAGTGCTGCTTGAAAAGTCACTTTCCTAATGGTTTTGTAGCTTGTTCTAAAACCTATCAAATGATTCCTGGTACTAGCGTTTCAGGATTTGGCCACTGCCACCTCTGCATGTACCTTACCTGTGGTATTCCTGGCAATTAAAAAAAAAAAAAAACAGATTATTTTCCTTCAGCTTCGTCCTCTCCAGTTTGGAGAGTCCCAAAATTTGGTGCTCCATTCCACTCATTGTTCCCAACATCTTCCTCAGCCTTTTACAGCATTGCTGTGCCTTGCTCAGGGCACAGAGACGAGACTGCAGAGTCCTCAGGGCGTGGGTGTACCAAGGTTTTCTATGGAATCCTCATTTCCAGTGCCTTCCTTACAATGCTCCCTGTTTTCTTGGCTTTTTGGCTGCTGCTGCCTGTGAAGTTAGCAGAAAACTCTCGCCACAGATTGCAGGACCTCTGCATTGCAAAGGCTGCTTCTCAAATAAGCATCATGTAAACGTGTTCTAACCCTCTGAGCATCCTTTATCGGCCACTCCTCGAGTTTAGCCGTCTTCACTTCCTCTTCACATTTCGCATGCCACATTTTCCTGGACTTCCCCGTGTGCTTTGCAACAGCCTCCTTAAATTTGTCATTGAGTCATACAGGCGGGGGGAGGTTTATGCCATGTTTTTCTATTTATGGCAGACTTTTTACCTTGGCTTCTAGACCTGTATTTTTAAGCCTTATGGATGTTTGCAGGCTTCTTGGTTTGGAACTGCTCATTTAGGGTTTTTTTGGCATATTTCCCCATTTTTGCATAAGTCATTTTCTTAAAATTGAGTATCTGTTTGCTTTATTTGTCTTGCATTCATCTTAGTGTTAAGTTTAATTATATTGTGTTTGCTACTATTGAGCAGCTCACCCACTAATAGCTCTTGAATTAGATCCTCTGCACTGCTGAAGACTAAATTCAGAATGTCATTTCTTTTTGTTGTGGTTCATAGGGCCAGTTATTCTAAAAAGAAATAATTTAATGTATCCAGAAATGTTATCTCTACTTTTCACCCTGATGAAGCATTGACCCAGTCTGTATGTAGGTGGTAGAGCCCTCCCACTACTTGTCCTAAATGTGCAGCTTCCCTAATCTCACTTAATGCAATTGTTGAAAGGAACCAACACAGGGAAATTAGCAACCTTGCATCTTAGCACAGCTAAGGCAAGCTCACATTAGGCTTTTTTGATCAAAATCAGCACCTGTATCACTTGCAAAGTGCAGAACGTTGGTTTCTGGTATAATGTGGTCTGTGCAAGACATTTTTAGACTAAACCCTGACCTGGCAGTGAGTTCTCATGGGCAAAAAGAGCTGTAGTGTTGAATTCCTCCCCATCAGATTACAGTCTGATCTGCAGCTGCAATTTAGGCTGGCTGAAGTTTTCAAATCATCTTGCAGATAGAGTGCATTGTGTCTGTCCAACAGGGAAGGAACAAAAGCATTCACCAGCTTGTTTCATAAAGCCCTGTTGTTTCAGACCAGTCAGTTACTTGCACCAAAATTAACTTCTCCAACAGTGGTATTTTGCAGACTTGTGCTTTACAGTGTTGTGGTTTGGGGTTTTGGGGCTTTTTTTAATAAATATCAGGTAACTCATGTAAAAAATGCCTGTGTAAAAGCAAATTTTAAACACCTAGAAAAATTCCTAAAATTCTGCTGTCCAAAGGCAGCTCTGCCAATGAAGTCCATAAATACATCTGATAAAAGTTTGCCTGTCTTTTGTCTATCAAATTGTCTGGCTGGATTGCTGCAACTCATGCCTTCAGTTCCCTGTGTAACTGCTTCCTCTCCCTCTTTCCAGACTCACACAGCTATGATGTCCCCCCTCCTTCGTGGCCTTTCCCAAAACCTTTGTCCCCATCTGTTCACCTGGGAAAGCAGCACTACGTGCTCATTCTGTAGCAGGTTTGGAGCTATGTCCGTGCTGGCCAGTGGCCACCTCTTAAAAACAGGGAAGAGCTCCTTTTGGCCATGTTTAATGCAGGAAATAATTTATTTTTCTTTCTACCTAGACATGGAATTCCCATGAAAGTTTTCATCATGGATTATTAATTGCAGGTTCCATTCTATCTCTGCTTTGTCAAATTTGGTGAAAATTAGCCAGAAGGTTCAGAAGTTATCAAGAAAAGGAGGAGAGGAACAGATGGACAAAAGAGGAGTTGACAGACAGCATGATGTCATAATCCCCGTTGGCATAGGAATTCAGGCTAGAATTGAAATATTTTAGGTCAGAACACTGTGCACTTAAAATTCTCATTTCAAAAGAACAAGTCTCTGAAGAGAAACAAATTTTCATCTGTTAGACTATCCATCAGCTCTTAGGGCAGAGATTAAACAACAGCCTTCTACAAACATATAGTCAAAATTTCTAACAGCCCCTTTCCCCACCCAACCTCAGACCCATGTGCTTTAGCTTTTGCTTTTGCAGCTCCTTTTTGGTCAAGATTGTTTTCCTCTGATTTTTTTTTTTTTTTGTTGTTGTTGTTGTTGTTGTTGTGTTCAGTCAAAACATAATTAAGGCTTACCTTACCCTTTTTTTCCATTCTAGGAGCAGTTGTTTTGTATCTGTTTCCTAGAACTGGAGAGGCTGCTTAGATAGCATACTGCCTTTACAAGCCATTTTATGGTGAATTCCAGCAGATTAAGGCATAAACATTTCTGGAAAGATGTCTGCAAGCTCTGCAGTATTCCATCCATACCGTGTTCTGTTTGTTCCACTGCAAAATATGACATCATTGTGCCTGACACCTCGGAGAGGAGCTCTCGGTTGCCCATCGTCTGAGGCTGTAACAAACAGCCAAGGAGTGCAGTGCCACCACGCAGGCATTGCAGCTGAATCCTCCCACTGGGATACATCTGCCAGATTAAAAACTCAACGTCATTTGCTTGTTACTGCTTTAGGGTTTTGTTTAGGTTATGGTTTGGTTTTGGGGGGGAAAAATCAACACAGAGGAGTCAAGGAAATAGGCTTTTAGCTGGTGAACTGTAACTGTACCAAATCTTTTTGATTTTGAATCATACTGCACATTTGCTCACAGCAGCAGGATTGCAAAGGTGCCTGCTGCAGATTGTTGGAGTGACAATTATTCTTTGGAAACACCCTGTCCTAAAATGTAATTCATTGCTTTAAGCAAAATTGTATTCTGGATTAAGCAGAACTCTTAACTTCTAAAAGTGCCATATGAACTTTTATTATAACAAAGTCAGAAGATAAGAATTTGGCACCAACTTGCTTTCTTTGCCAAGTGCATGGATCTTCTCTCCAGAGGAATGGTAGATTTCATTCTGAGACCTTGTATTCCCAGAAAAACAGGTCAGAGCGATTAGTTTCCTTCAGCTTTGTTGGATTCAGTACTGTAAATATACAAGAAGCTCCTACATGGAGCTTCTACTCCTACCTTCAGGCTACCACTCCTAATGTATTTAAACATATAATGCACAAAGGGATATGTTCTTTTCCCTAGAAAACTGTCTGTTTACTCTCCTGACCCTGTTTTGAATGAAAACCCCAATTTTCATCCTGATAGGCAGGACAAGCTTCTGGATGTTTAGTATTAAACTTGAAACATCCATCATTAGTGAAATGAGGAAACTTTTTTTTTTTTCTTTTAAACAAATGGTAGGATATAACAAATATCATAAACAGAGCTGTACAGATCATTAACTGTACAGGATTTACAAAAATAGTGCCAGCACATTTATAATAATATTTTTAACCACTGCAGTTCTTGTGCTGAGAAAACTGGTGCTGTCACAAAGTACAGCACTGCTAAATTTACAGCTTTTTTTTTTCTGTTGTAGATTAATTTATAAAAAGTTATTAAGTGCTAGATTGTATTTTATTTTTATTTTGTGATAATATTAATTTTTAAAAAAACGTGATAGAAAAATTAGTTTACTATGCTTTGCACATGAGTATCTTACTGATTCAGAAGCTCAGCTTATTCAAATCAAATATAAATGCATCAACTAGCTACTGGCCGTGATTTCAAAATAAAACTACTATTTCTGTATTTGTAAGGTATCACTGTATTTAGGACCAACATGCGTGACAAACTGAAACACAAACCAGGGGATGTCACATGATGCAGCTGAGAGAAAACAATGGAATTTACAAAAGGATTTCAGCTCCATCCTTCATCTCTCATCAGCTAAAATGCTTGTTTTTGTCTGGCTGCACATCACTTGTGATGTGACTTTCATATTTGACAAAACAAACATGCAGATCTTGTAGGCTGCCTTTTAATGCTTTTTTCCCTGTCTTATACCAAGCTGAAATTATTTCAAGTATAATTACTTAGAACAGACACTAATGCATTTCAGTTTGCACTTTGCAAACAGGTTAGTTAGTCTTCAGAAATGTAAAGTGGAAATTTATACAGCACCCATGGTTAGAGACAAATAAAATTAATGACTGTTGGGGTTTCAACGGGCCATTGTGTGTAAAAGAACTCCAAGCAGGACCCCAATCTTCATACCATGCTATTAACTTGAATTGCTAAAACTCAGGGAGCTCCTTATGAAATAGCTGACATGAAATAAGCTGACATGTAAAGATTTGCAATATGCAAAGAACTGTGAAGAGAAGAAACACTATGCACAAAAAACAAGTGATGAAAGTTTAAAAAAAACCTGAGTAACACAACAAAAAGGTATAAAAATTTGTATTTATATTATGACGAGATAATGATACAACACAATACTCAGTGTGCTACAGAACGTAGCAAGCGCCATGTACGTGTGTACAAATGAATCTGTATAATACAGTAAAATGCATCTCACAGACTATGAACCATTCCTTTGGCTCTGGGACCCAGAGGCTCTGGCACAGAACCCACTTGAACACCTTTAGGTAACAATTTTACCAGTAAGCAGCAGAAGGCTCTCAGTCAGTGCTTCACCTGCACCAAAATTTCATCTTAAACATCCATCCTGCACAGACCCTTCCAATGCCATAAATCCTGTGTAACCACAGTTTATGCCTCTCGTGCAAAATGAAAGAAAGGAATTCTGAACTTGGGGCACCTTCACTCTGCTTGGCCAACAGGCAAACCTCTGGCTGGACATGCCTCCCCAGGAATCCTTTCCTGGGCTTATTTACAATACTTCAGGCAGAGAGAACAGCCAAGGTGACCAAATGGTCTTTTCTGTTTCATATATCCCCTGCATTTTAATTCTGGGTAGCTATGGAACACACTTGGATATTTTCTTTACAGCTGCCAATTAACAACAGTGCATTTAGACAGTCACTTAAGCAAATTGGCTCATTTCATTGCTGGCAAAATTAATTTCTGATGTGTTTGCCCCATTAGTATTTGTAGGGAGTACAGCTCTTCCTTAAAGGGTCTCAATTATTCTTCTATCAATTTTGGAAAATGTAAATTAATGGATTAAGTATCAACACTGTTACTGGCTCATACCACACGCAACCAATGACCTCTACCATTTAAAAACAAATTTAACAGATTTATGAAAGAGTAATTTGTTGTGAAGACATTCCTGATCAGCAGCATCATAAAATGAAATATATAAAATTAATGTTACTTAATTAAAAGCTGTGATGATGTGGTTCTTTCAAAAAATGTGTTTTCTTTCCACATGGCTGATCTGCAAGGATGAAAAATTTCACCACTAATTACCAGTCTGCCAAAAAGTTAGTAAAATGGTGAAATAATCACTCGTCCAGGAGCAGAGACTGCTGTAAGTACCTCCAGGAAAAACAGAAGTACCAGCCCAGAGCAGGTCTGCAGGCAGAGCTCACACTCGTAACTTCACCTCTTTCTGTTGCCCAGTTCTCCTCTCTTGGCATTTTAAGTTCATCCACTGAAATGGCTCATGCAAAGTTTACAGTCAGATGCTCAGAATATTGTTATTTATCACTGTAATTTATTTGTAGATCAAGTAACTTTTTTCCTACTTCTATAATTATATGCATGTGGTATAGTTGAACCCATACTCATCCATGTCAAAAATGTAACACCACTGAAGTCAGTCTTAATTCTCTAAGTTAGAACAAGTTAGATGTGTTAGATTTTAAGTAGATTTTTTCAACTCCAAATCTTATACTAATAAGTTAGGATTGAAACTCTATAAATACCACATGGAAAACTCATGGATTTTTTGGATGCTTCTTCATTTTTGTTTTAACCTGCTAAAACTCAGTCTGGACCGAATTTGTTCTTTGCAGAAGACATTACAGGACCCAGTCTCTGGTTAATAACGTGTTGCAGAGCTTCTAGTGCCAAACCTGCTCTTTTCAGAAGTTAAATAAATCAGCTGCAATGGGCCTGGCAGGGTACAAGCTGGGCAGAGAGAGGATGGATGCGAAGGAGGATTCATCCTCTGAATTGCAGTGGAGAATATGCAGAAAGAACTAACAATTTTAGGCTGGTTTTTTGTGCCTCCCTCCAGTGATGCCAGAGTGCAGGCACGGAGCTGGAGGAAGCACCAATCCAGGAGCAATGCAGAGGCACGTATTATCCTCTGACACCTGCGTGCTGCAAGGGAAAGCCCTTCCTTTCTTCTCCCCCAGGAAACAGGCCAAACCTCTATGTCTCCAGAAAAAGAACTCTGCGATGACTTCATCTCTCCAGAGCCCCTTCCACAGAGAAATAGACCTTAGCAGCCCTGTAATCTTGTCCCTGCTCCTTTTCCGATGTGGTAACTGCAGAGGAAACGGATGAACTGAGCAGCAGCACCCCCTCACCTGCTGAAAGCGCGGCCACCACAACACGGCAGAGCTGCCAAGGTGGTGGCAGGACTTCATCTTGCAGCAGTTTGCTTTTTGCAGTCCCACTGTGGGCACAGGTACACTTGTGCACGCGCACGGGGCACACACACGTGTCCAGATGAGAAAAATAAAAAACAACACTGTTTGCATCCCAAGGTGCTGTGGCCACAGGCAGTGCTGCACTGGCTGCTCAGCAGCAGAACCTGAAAGATAAGAGCCCCGACTGTCCCCACGGACTGCAGCTCTGCTGGGGGGACAGGCCAGCCCCAGACCTGACCCTGGAACTGCTGTGCCACTGCCTCTAACGGGGCTGCTGCTGCTGTCCGGGGGCTGTGCCTGAAAATTCCACCTTAAATTGGGCTGTGCTCGAGGGAGAATGACACAGGCAGTATGGTGTCATTTTTCTTTACCAGCGTTAATAGCTCCCAGCTGTAACAACTGAAAAAGTAAAAACAAATAAACCCTTTTTATTTCCACTCAAGATTATTCGAGTAATTTTTATTGAAAATATAAGATCTACAAAGCCATGGATACCCAGCGTGGAAGAACTCATTAAGTTAGCACATTCATCTTTAAAAGGAAAATTTCAGGTTGACCTAAGGTACAATAATGTTCAATTTAAAGTCTCGTTTTTCCTTCTGTAAGTTTCAAATCTCTTTTCATTAGGAGGTTCTGTGCAAGAGCTGCTTGTCATGAAAGGAAACACTTTACAATCCATGAATGTGTTCATTATATAATAAATGAACAGCAACAATATACTAGCCTCTTTTTTTTTTTCCTGTTAACAGTCGTGTGTTAAAGTAAACTCTTTTTTTTTTTTTTCCATGATTTGGAAATTAGTTACATATGCACCAAAGGAGCTAGTAATTTCTGCTGCTTGTCAGCTACACACAATGAGTATATTGCTGTGTGCTTTCCCCAACAATGAGGATTTTAGTAATATGCAAGGTGTACAGAATGTAATACCAAAACCTGCATCACAGAAAAGGTTAATTGTTTTCTTATTCAGCTGCCAGAGTTGATAACCTTAGGCCCCTCCCCAGAGCCAAAGTAGGGGTGGCCATCCATTAGGTTATGTAAATTAAATGTATACGTTTCCTTGTTGGCAAGTTCCAAGCAGTAAGCGAGAGTGCAAACAAGGATCTGTAAGCTGCCACAAAATGTATTCATATTTCTACTCCGTGTTGTAAGAGGCAAAGGGAGGACACGTATGTCAGGTGTTGAAAGAACAACTGAACCTTTGCTTTTGATCATTATGGTCAGTCTGTCATGAGGTCTTGTATCTGAATGCTAAAAATGGCACCACACTTGGACATCCCATAGCCTTACACAGTACATTTTTTGTTTCCCAAGCCACTGAGCACTGGTCTCACAGAGACCCTTGACTTTATAAGCTAACAAAAAATAGATTTGGGTGCTGAAGAATCCAAGGGAGGGCTCATACAAAGACAATTAACCCTCGCACCAAAACCTAATTTCATGATTTTACTTAAAGCCACACTGAATCAGTTGTGAGAGGGTGAAGATATAAATACACCTCTCTGCTTCATCCGTAAGAAGGTGGACAACTGACCATTTGAACAGAGGGTCTTGAAACAAAGCTTAGTTGTCCTTTAAACAATGAGAAGGAGAGGCATACATAAATGGTCACCAAGGCACAATATGACAAAGGTGAAGAGTCCCTGAGACTCTGGTCTGGGTCTGTACCATTCCCCTCCTTATACAAGTAAATGAGAACATTTAGGAAAATATAATACAAAATCTCTTACAGGAAATATAGACTACACTTGCTAAAATCACTTCCCTAAAA